GACCCTAAATCTATGAAACTATGAAACTATGAAACTATGCCTGTGTCCTTAGACCAACACGGCTACCAGCTATACCCCTGTAGTATGGTGGCTAGCCTCTACTTTTTTATGCCTCTTGCATTGGGGAATATAAACTGTTTTTAAATGATGGTGAAAAACACAGATGGGGCCAAAGTCATCTCGTATGTAACCCCTAATGCTTTCTTGGTAATTATGCATTTATTATTTATTTAGGCATTTATTATTTATTTATGCATGTCACCACCCACTCCCAAGATGTATATAATCTTACCAGGAACTTTAAGCACCTAGGCAGAGAGAAGTCTAGTGGATGGCGGGTTGACTAAGGGGTCAGCTGGGGTAAGTTTGGTTCCTGGCCCTGCCGCTGATTCATCTGGGGACAACGGTCAAGTCACTCACCTTCTCCGTGTCCTGCCCTTTGATCGTCTCGTCCAGTAGCCTGTGGTATGTTTGAGATGGGGAAGTCCATCACCATGCATCTGTACAGTGCCTAGGACAACAGGACCTCCAGCAGGGTCTCCAGGGGCTAAAGGAATACGGGTAATAAGAAACAGTTCTCAGAGATTAAAAGTATGTCAAAAGGGAGGACAGCAAGAACCCAGGCAAAAGGCTTTCACAATAGACCTTCAAAATATATTCCCATTATTGCAGGAATAGATTTTGTAAAATATACTAGGCATTATATGGTTGCAGAAATATACATACCTTTGAATATATTGTTCAATAGATTGGAATTTATTTCACTGTATTTCCAGTGTCGCCCCCCTTCTCTCTTTTCCATGTTGGAGATAATGAAAACCCTGGTATTTAAATTCAGTTGCAGCTCCTAGCTGGATAGATTGATTGCTTTAAAAAAAAAAATAAAAAAGCTCAGAGCACGTATGCATAAACTAGATGGTAGATTAGGTTACTGGGAAAGGAAATGTACAAATGTACCAGTAGTGTACCTTTTGCAAGAAGATTAACTGATGGGAGCAGCAAGTTGCTGATGAAGGCAGTTTGTGTAAGAGCAGACCCTAGCTATTGAGACTCATCAGTCATTGCTGTCAGCATTTCCCTGGATTCCTTCAAAGCATGTCGCCAGGTCCCTGAACAAGAACATGCGAAAGGCTCTTAAAAGTGAACGGACATCATGCTCATGCCTGAGTGTGCAGAGCTTGCTCAGTGGATGATTGAAGTTGGCACGTCTATTTATTGTATTTGACTTTCTTTTAAGTTGCTGGGATATCTCACTCTGTCTGGGTGCAACTCGCGCTTGTGCAGAGGGCCAGCCTGAGCTGAGCGCCGAGCGATGGGAGCTAAGTGGGACCTGAGAAGGGGCACAGGCCTTGGCAGAGACCTCAGCCTGGTGGTCAGTTGTATGCACTGTGGGACCATAAATAGAAAAATCCCATTAAATCATTCTTGAGCTGTGGTGCACAGAGTGCTTGGTGCTTCCAACATCCAGAAGTGCCAGAGTGTGCAGAGCCTCAATGCCTAGGGAAGCTGATACAAAGGAAGAGGAGCATGTCTAGCTGTTTCCACCGGGAACTTGCAGCCAGAAGAGGGAGTGACACTCAGGAGGAAAAAACAGACCATAGTGGGTAGCCAGAGAGGGTAGATGGAGAGAAGCCAGAGCTTTTCTTATGTCACTCCATTCTTCTTAGGTCCTATTTATACCACCCCACACTCCTCTCTGGACCTTTTCAGCCACTACAACTAATACTCGAGGGGGACTATATTGCAAAGTATAACCAAGAGGGACTAAAGGTTTGCTCTCACAGTGGCAGCTTGATGAAGAGGGAAGGATATTGAAGCCTGTTATTAAACTAATACACATTGCAAGCTGCATGATTCGCCCAGGTGCCCTTGTGTTGCCTCAGTACTGCTTGCATTATTGAGGAGCACAGCTGGTGAGTTGTCTCTCAGCTCCAGACAGGGGCGAGGGAGGCAAGGAAGACATGTGTGCCTAGGAACAAGCCATCCTAACAAGTGCCTATTGAGAGGTTTCTCACACCTTCTCAAGCACCAGGCATGGAGGTAAAATCCTAGCAGGGTGGAGCGCCAGCCTGAAGCACTTTAGTAGTTCCTATATGCTGGATGGATTAGCCTTGTATGTGTTGCTAGAGACTGGTTTGAACTAGCATCCCAAATGCAGACTTGACCTGGATCCAAACTTAGCGACTTGGTGATCTATGATGCTTCAGTTCTCCCCCAATGCCTGGGGATTGTTGTAAGAGGGGGACTTCCAAGAGGAGTTCTGACATCTAACTTGTGTCCCCCTCCTTGCCTGGCATTGCCGTCCCAGTAGCCTGGAAGGGAACCAGAACTCATGGCAACTGGCACAAGAACAGCAGCTGGGCTCCTTGTTGCTCACCAACTTGTGATGGGTCTCTACTGTAGGGGCGAGGTGCTGATCTACACATACAGGAGCAACTTCAATCAAGTCATACTGATGGGACTCCAGATTGATGTGAAAGAGGGTACTAAGGCCCTCTATTGCTCTGTCTACGAACCAGGTTGCTCTGTGACGGATATGGGAAGATGCATAGACGGGCTGCCTCACACTTACCAAGAAATTCCTTTACATTGGTTCATTTCCAGCCAGCTCCCAGGGCCCTCTACTCATACCAGGATACAGCTCAAAATCACCCATGCGAGTGATCCTAGCTTGATTTAAAATCAAGAGCAAAACTTCCCTTGAAATGGCAAGTATTTTGAGATGAGGGCCGCCTATTTGTTTGGTGCTTGTAAAGCTCCTGGCATAAAAGCATCCTAGGCTCTAGCTGGGATTCACAGGTGCTACCATGATCCAAGAAACAACTTTGGAGGGACTGTATTACCCTTGCTTGTAAAGCTGTCTCTGGATGTCCCACCTCTTTCCACCCCAGGCTACCGCCATGAAGTTGCAATGACTCACCGCTGCTACTGCAGGGCCTTGCCCTCTATCATGGTCCCCTTCCTATCATGGCCCAGTAGCTTTCTGCTCCATCTCATCCCAGTTGATCTGTTCTCTTGGTAGCTGACTTCCGCCTTCACTTGACTTCCATTTCTTTCCAGCCTTGCTATTCGGATCTTCAAACGGCTTGGGGAAAAGGGCATTAATACATCAAATGGCTTGGGGAAAGGGGCTTTTCTTGCAAGACCTTGTGCAAATACTACTACCTGGTGCTTTTAACATGCATTATGTTTGTATCTGGGATTGTAGCTGGATAGCAAGACTTTGCCCATGTACTTCAAAGCACCTCCTTCAGTAGTGCAGGGAAACAGGCTGCCCAATGCTCCCCTTGCATTAGGTAAGGACCATTATCCCCTTTACGCAGATGGGGGAACCCTGGCCCTGGAAGAGGAAGTACATCCTGCGAGGCCACACAGGGTTAGAGGCAGAGTGAGGAATATTTAACTGATCCTAACAGCTAATTTAGGCAAACACCTGTCTCTACTCTCGTCTTACCTCCCTCCTCCTCTTTCCTATACCCCCCAGGCTTATTCACCTGTTGCATACGTTTAACTACTACCTTGCGAGCAATTTGGGGCAGGGCTGGCTTTGCGATACTCTTTTGTACAGCATGGCCCTAATCCTCCACCAAGTGTCCTTTGGGGCCAACAGCACTGAAGAGTTGGAGTCCTGACCCCCACCCCATATGCTAAAAATTGGACAACACTCTCCAGTGTGCAACTATTTACTATGGGCTGGTTTGGACTAATCTTGGCTTTGTTACTTTTTGAAGATATATTAATGCCCTTTTCCCCAAGCAGGCAAGTCTTTTTGTTACACAAACACAAAGATACACACACACACGCACACACACACACACACACACACAAAAGTTTTTACATTAGTTTCCTAAGTTCATGGATAAAGTCCAGAGCTGCCAAGCTCCCACTACTTTGCCATGTCACGCTAATAGCTTCCAGATCCCATCACATATTAAATTCATGCGGTTTCAGCGAAGCCATCTATTTAATGCAATTCGCTAAATGCCTGCGTAGCTCCGCTGACAGTGACATATTAGTTTTGCAGTCTTTTGCAATCTGATATCTCTGAATTTGCCACTGTACTAAAGATTTGATTAATGTGGTTCCATTTCGGTGCAGTAATTGGCTGCGACTGTTGTAGAAAATAATCAGGCTTTCATTCCTTACAACTGCATGGACATGCTAATGAGCGAGTGGGTTAATTAAGCCCCAGGCAGAAAGCGACAGTTACTGATGACTGTTATGACAAACCACCGACTCGGCATTTGGGAGCAGGACAGCAAATTTGCACTTTATGAAATTACAGGAAAACTGGGACATAAGGAATAAATAGTTACATCTGTTTGGTGAAAGGAAAAGAGCGAGCGAGACAGAGAGTGTGTGTGTCTCTCTCAAATCAGGGCACAAACACAAAAAAAGTTAGGCGTCCAAAAACACAGGGAAGGGGGGGGAAAAAAAGTTTATTTTCCCTGCATACACTCCACTCTCTCCCAGCAAGATGAATACATTGGCAGAGTGTGAAATATGGACATCTAGCAAAAGGATTTGCATTATTGCAACGTAGCAGAAAGATGGCTCGGCAACTCTATTCCTCTGGCAGGCAGAGGTTGGGATGCTGTCTGGGAATAAATCACATTTGCAAGATGGCAAGAAGTGAAAAAGAAAAAAAGAAAACCTTGCATGGAAAATTCTGAGAACCCGGCTGACCACGAGTTGCCCAAGGCCTGCCAGGTGGAGAGACTCACGGCTAGCTCTGCCAGGCCTGGGTTCAGGGTGTCCTTTTCTCTTGGCACTAGGCTCTTTGCAGCCTTCGGAGCCATTCAGGTAGTCAGGGACTACCTGCGCTATTATCTTCCTTCCCCCGGCCCCTTGCTGGGAGCAGGAGTCTGAACCACTTTGCTCCCTGCATCTATGACTGCACTTGGGCTGATCTAGTCTTTGCCAATCTGGACCTGCTATAAACTGTGAAGAGTAGCTTAGAGCAGCGACCGGCCAAAGGTCTGAGTCAAAGCCAATGAGAGCAGTGCAGTACAGGAGGCGCTAGAGATGCTGTATTGCAGCACCAGTCGGGGCTCAGCTGCATCCAAATTTCCTCTCTTGCCCCTAGGTCTCCCCATGCATTTCAGTGTCGCCCAGCAGTACATCAGGGAGCAAGGCCCCACACAACCAGAGAAGGGTAGTTGGGACCTGAACCAGCAGTCCTGATGCACTCGTACCCACTGCCTGCGTTGGAGAGGGGTTCATGTGGCTTAAGTCTTATTTCCTACGTGCAGGAATTTCATGTCAGCAAAGAAGGGCTGGCCCTCCCTGCTGAGACATGATCTATCCAAGTGCAGTTACTTTTAACTTGGATAGTGCTGGTCTTCTTGGATACCAGATCCTCCTTCTCCCTTGTCAGTCGGTTAACTTGTCTACGACACGTTTTCCTGCTTGTAAACTCTCTACGCAGGGATTTTCTTGCTTGCACATTGGGGTCCTGGCCCTGAATGGTAGAGCTATGATAAAACATACTGACTGGAGAAGAGACCAGTCCCCCGTGAAGCGGGAGATGTCTGTCATTCCCACCTT